ATATATATATATATATATATATATATATATATATATATATATATATATATATATATATATATATATATATATAGATAGATATTGGAACATATTCTTGTTATTTTAAAATGTTTATACTTTTTCCCCACTGACATATCATTTAGATTAATTGGTTTCTCCCTCACAAAATCAACTCTTTTAAGTTCAAAATGACAAAAGTTGCACTGGATCTTATGTATGATATTAATTTAGAGATTTTAAAAGTTTTGAAAGATATCCAAATATATTAGTGCTAAACCAATTAATCGATTATTTAAATAATCATCAACAAATGTAGTAATCAATTAATCATTAACTGGAGTATAGATAGAAAACATGCCTTAGCTGACACCGCAACCCACTTAGGGTATTCATTACATTAAAATGTGAAAAAATATATGAACATTTTGCATTTAAGATAAGAAATATATTTTTCCTCCGTCAATATGAAGTTTCACCTGGTTTAATTTCATAAAAAGTTGTCTTTAAGGAACCTTTGGCTATCCGGTTATTAATCTAAAAAACAATCGACACATGAATCGACTTGCAAAATAATTGTTAGTTTCAGCCTGTTGTGGATATACATTATATGCCAATCCAAGTTGGATGCCATATTTATGCTGTGAATAACTGTTATATTCAATTCCCAACCAGCTGGGAACTTATATTTCGGACACTTTAAGATGTTTATTGCCCTCCCCGGTAGGGGTTGTAAATATCTTATTTAATCAGATTATATTTTGGCTGTTATTTTTTGTTTTTGACACACAGTCCTACTAACTGTGTGTTAGAACAATAAATGAAAGAGTAATTCGAGCACTAATCATGGTCAAACTGTTAATTCTGCACATACATGGAATAAATTCACCACAACTTCTGTTCAAAATATGAGTTTATTAACAAAAAGCATTCAGCTCCAAGTCAAACATATTTCAGTTTAAAACTCTTACCGTAACTAAGACTAGTGAAACTCAACGAAACTTAACTACTATGTACAAAGAGGAAGGGGAAACGTGGTTGAAAACCATATTACAGTTTAAGAAAGAAAATAGAAAACCAAAGTTTATCTCGAAGAATTTGGGATATGATCAAATTAACTTTTAACTAATTTAGAGAAATTGGAATGTTTTCAGACCAATTCACAATGCAAATCCATTAGGTGAATAAAACATTATTTAGCCAAATAATGTTTTATTAAATCATTTGCTTATTCAAGAACCAAAAACCTTTAATCAAATGATTCTTTACCCTTTTTGAAATAGCTAGCAGCGAATAGACATGAGGATTCAAAATAAATGAATCTTGGTCATACTCTGTAATCGAAATGTGAGAGGCATATGAGGAACACATGAACAGTAATGTTATATCAGTGTTTAAACCCTTACTGAAATAAAGCTTGTCCAAGCTTCAGCAACAGCTCAAAACATATTAGTGAAGCATAGCATGCAGTCCATCCTGTTAGCTTTGTCTTTACTCAACAGATAAAACATGCAATGATCAAAATCATCAAAACATATTGTTAGTTCTGTCCCTAATTGTGCCAGACCTGCAAACCTTTTGTCCATGTCCATTTGGAAGGCTTGAGTTTCATCCAGCAGCAGCTTAGCACAGCAACCAGGGGTTTGGGCTCACACCAGTCAGCCTTTCTCATCCATTCTGGCTCTATAAGTTCTGAAACTCAAGAGAAATGTGGTGCAAAAACTTTGGTTCTGAAAGGTCACCATGAGGACTTATCCTTGATAATTCTGGAGATCTGGGTCTTTTTGGGCCTTGGTCTCCAATTTGGTGAAGACCCTACTGAAGTGGACCCTAGGCAGTTTCATGGGAAAATGAGAGCATCCTGTGTGTTCTGTAGTTTTGGTTTGCACAGGCCTTACCGCTGTTTATCCACTAAAGCTGCGTTCTTTTCTCTGGTCTTCATGTCAAGATTAAACATGGCCACTGGTTCCCGATATCCAAAAGCCATGATCATGGTATATGGCACAACACTGCCCTAGAATATATACATAAAAAAATCTGTTACTGTTATTCCTTTGGCTTAGTGAAATAAATCACACCTACATATACGGAAATCCTCTGTAATTTTTTTCTGTCTTGATCAAACTTTAATATCAGTCATTAAAGGAAACATGTCTAATAATTTTAGCCTTAAAGTGAAGAGAATAGTAAAAAAGTAGAATAATCTTGAGCATCAATCTTGTATTTTATGTTATGTACTGATCATTCTAAACTAAAATGTACAAGATAATCTTTTTACAATAATGAAAAGAAAACTGCTATTCCACTGATAATACATGCTGTACTCGCTCCTACTGTATTAATGTTTTTCATTAGTCAATTCATCTCTACTTGGATATTTATGTTTATTTTTATGCTTACATTAGGAATAAGCATTACCAAATTTAGAAGTATTCTTTCAAGTAAACATGCATTGTGCAAAATATGATGCGACGGTGTCTCATTTACTTCACTTGAAATAATACTGAGAGTCTTCCAACTTGAAAAAGGCTGACAACTACATGAGAAGGTCTCTGCTGCAGTCAATGGCTGGAAGGGGAGTGGTCCATCCTTAAACTATTGAACTATAAAACTCTGCTTCGAGCATCCTCCTTCCTTATATTAAATTGATCTATTTTATATAAAACTTTTAATTGAAAATTATGTTTTTTATGAAA